CTTGTAAGTTGAGGACAACCTGCATTATCTGAAGAAGAGTCATTTGCCCCTATGTTTCCATAGGAATCATGAGAACAAGCAGGATATTACTGAAATCTTGTAATTAAAAGAGCAGGTACATATAATATGGTGCTTATAAGCCCTCATCTAGGATAACTGCATCTTTAGCTTTTAGTAAAGCCACCTCTCAAATTTTCAGACAGCTTTAGCAATCAATATTTTGGCATGGCCAAAATATGTAAAATACATGTTTAAAAGAAGCCAATAAAAATAATCTGTTTAAATATGACTCACAGTGTAGTTCTATCCTTATGAAGTCTCTGATTCCCAGATTCTCTAAAAGCACACCAGAAGAAGCTGTAGTTTTGAAGAAAAAGGACATGTCTGCACTCAGTTCTCCATGAAAAGTGGGAAAATGGAGATAGGAGGCCTCAGTGTTGAAGGAGGCTGCATTCCAAAACTCTCCTAAATATAGAACAAAGAAGGTGGAAAATTCTATTACATATACAGTTGTATCTAATCAACTGGCAATTAACATATTAATTATCCCCAAAGATTTCACTAAATGCCTTCTTTAAAAGGAAAGTTCAATTTGTAAGTGCCACAATTCACTTATGATTCAAGTCTGCCTTTTTCCAGATAATCTACAAAGGCTTAATTCCAAATCATACTATCTAAAAAATCAAATTGGTGATACCAAAGAACCTTCTCAGTTACTTTCTCAACAATATGATATTTTGTCAACTAGAAAATGACTCATGCTGAGTGCTTTTGCTGCTGATGAAAGCAGTCTCATTATCATGAATCTGAATGACACCTCCCATATGTTTATTTCAGTTGCTACTTGTTTTCTTATGAACTTTTCATTGTTCTTGTCTTGTTGTCTACTCTACCAACATACTTCCCCCCCATCTTTGACTGTTATCCACTTTGGGGTTCTGTTTCCATTTCAAGACCAACCACTAGATTATCAATATTTGAAGAAAGGAAGGAAGGAAAATTAAAATGCACATATTTGCATACACATGTTTTCTAGTAAATAGTTAATGCTTAGTTAATGAAAATTATACTACAGTTTCATTTGCATTGCTTCCTCACCAATCCAAAGATTAGAACAAGTCTATTGTACTAATTCGAAGAGTTTTTAGCAACCTTATATGAAATAACCAGTTACTATGCAGTCCATGAACATGTAAGGGAACATGCTGGGATGCATGATCTTTCCTTATTGATTTTCAAGAAAGTTAAATTCTAAAGTTATTTTGTTTGCTAAATTTACATACTGCACATTCTGCTATATCCTGTCTATGTATTTATCTCTTTCATAAGCTATACACTTGGTGAATTAAATCAGGCAATATCAGCCAGTGAAAACTAAATATATTTTCTTTGGTTAGTCTCATCATTTTTTTTTCTTTTTTAGAAATGTCATTCCCACCTCCCCCCAAAAAACCCCATGGTAGATAAATTATAAATGAGTTTTAAACATCAAGTTTCAGTTATACTCGATATATTATCCCCTCTACTTTATATTAGTTTTTAAACTTCTTGTAAAACTTTCAATAAAATTTTTATTTTGCATAAACCATT